AATGATGCCTTTGCACTGAACCTTCATAACAGCGGTACAGTGGAGCTAAATATTGTACATTACTGTAAAGGTCAGTCACTAAAAAATTAAATATCTTTGTTGTTATGAATGTAGTAGACTAACAAAACTACATTTAGGATTTTTCTTTGAGGTGGAGTTGCTTGTTCTACAATTATCTTTTAGTAGACCTACTAGAGTAGGCCCTGATAATGCAAGATAGTGCCTGTTTGTGTTTCTCATTTTTAGTCACTTCCAGACCTTCATGTTTCTTACGAAGCCAACCATTCACAATTATATATTAATGATAACAATAAAATTAATGTCAGTCACATCAGTATGTATTATTTACCACCGTTACAATTATTTCAATACAGTCCTCTTTATACAAAATACCCTTAATAAAATGTCACATTTATCATTTGGTGTGAAAGTAAAAGCATATGGGTAGTGTAGTGTGAAGTTTGTTGTTTATAAGTAGATGAAAAGGGAAGAGAGGGAGTTGAGAGAAGGAAGGAAAAAAAAAAAAAACAACAAAGTATACAAGAAAATAATGTAAGAACCGATTGACATTTGTGATAAAAAAAATTGGATTGACAGATAATTTAAATCTTGTAAATAAAAAGCTCCATGATATATATATATATATATATTTTTAAAGATGTTTGTGATATTTTAATTGTTCAAAATTTACTACAAAAGACGTGGTTTTCATGAAGCAGTAACCGTGTATGCAACACATTTCCGGGAAATCTGCTCAATATCTGAGAATTTTGTCTTATTTTCATTTCTTATTAGAGAAATATCTTTTAAAAATGTCTATTTAAATAATATGAAGGACAACAGAAACAAAAAAAATACATTTCATAATCTATATTTCCTTTTTTCTCAAATAAGACACTACAAACCTCTATTGCATAACAAACAGGGTTAGAAAAATAGTTCAATTCCCAAAAGCAATCATGTTATTTAAAATGAAGATTGTAATCAATATTATTTTACTTAATATTTATGAACTATGGTATATAAGAAGCAGAGGGATGCTGTATAATCTAAGAACACTTTTACATCACTTTAAGAACGACACATGTAGAGTACCCAAATTTGTAGTCTCCATCACGCTTGTGACCAAATTCAATGCCTAACTTAAGATAAAAAGGAAAATTGTCTGTAATTCATATTGGTTTATTAAGTTCTACAAAATGAAAATTGTATTTCCTCACTTCATCCCCCCTTTTTATTTTAAAAAAATATTATGAACTTGCTACAAGTAATGAGGCAGACGTCCTTGATTCTGAGATAAAAAACTATTTCTGTAATATGCTGCTCCTCTAATACAAATGTGAAGGCAATGAGTCATTTAATTACAGGAGTGATGGAGAATAAGACAATATGGCATCAAAGAACTTAATGAGGTGGTTAAAGACAGACACACACATTCCTTCAACCACTCCACTGGCATAATGTGTAGCACAACAGAGATACAGTCTATTGTTTGAAATGACCTATTTTCCTTTAATACTTCCTCCTCCACAAGCACAGTCATCCACTTCTGCTTTCATTAAATAACTGATAGCATCATTACAGAAGACTTCAACCGCCTCAAAGTTTTTCAGTACCACCTTGCCTGTGTACATATTTAACAAAGAACAAGAATAATGTTGAAGATCCTAATGAATACAGGAATTATTATCTCCCTGCATATGAAGATATAAACTCATAAGATGGCTAGGATTCATAATCACAAACTTTTTATTCATTGAAAAATATGTTTCCTGTTACCCCCCTCCCAAGATATTGTTTACATGGACTTGGTAGATCTTAAACAGTTGAAAAGTAAAACTGAACACAAAAATAAGTGTTATGTGGAAACATGACAATTAAAATACTATGTATTTACACACACATATATATATATCTATCTATTTATCTTCACAAAAAAGGAAGAAACTCAAGAACTGTTACAGATCTAAGAAGAAAACTGGTGGCTTTAAAAACTAGAAACTGTTTTATGAATGAACAATGGCTGAATATATTACAAAAACTGATATGGTATGGTGGTGAAAAACTGCTGTATCAAAGAATGTTATAGTTCGGCCAATATTAACTTCCAAAATAAAGGTTAAATTTTGTGCACAATGCACATTTCTCAAGAAGTATTCTAAACTGATTATATATCAGCTCATAAAGAAGCACCTCAAGGTATGCACTACAAAACTCAAGTAGTGGAGTGTGTATAATGTATATATAAAAAAAAAAAGGTTTCCAAGAGTGAATTTTGTGCAGTATTTCTTTTCTTTCATAAAAAAAAGTTAATAGTAACTTTCTACAAAAATAAGTCACACTTCTGCACTGAAACATTAATATTTCAATATATATATACATACACATATATATATAAAACAAAGGAATGTCTGGTCAGTGACAAAAAATATGATAGTTTTCAATTATCAACCAACATTCTGCCATGCACTCTGCATGCAGCTAACAATGTAACATAGATCAAGTGTGCAGATCTCAATGGCATAATGAGATCATGAAAAAGATATCAGTTACACAAATCTGTAAGGGTAAATCAACTTTGCATTTAGCTCAGTTAAAAACTAAGTTTGCATCACCAAGAATGAACAAAAGAGAGAGAGAGAGAGACAGCAGTGCAGATTTAAGTTGACCAAAATATAAGGCAGTAAATGTTATCATCGTCATTTACTCACTTTAACCAATTGTAATGTGATCTAAGCAGTAAGTTCAGAGGAAGTGCTTTCACCTTGCAATATAATTGAGAAGTATTGAACTATAGCTGTGCTTTGCAATTTGCAGGTTTAACGCTTGTAAGATTTGTGCATGTCTTGTATGTGGTAATAAACTATTGTTTACATGTTTCTTTTTTCACTCCAAAAATAATATATATGGCAAACAAGTCCTTTGAGGTAGGGTTCATGGACTTTATGACTGACATTACATCACTTTAGACATCTTTATATTTTTTAAAAATCTTTTCTTTCTTTGCACATTTGCATTTAACTACTCTTTAAAAATGTTTTTTCCCCCCCCTTCCTAAAAATGCATCTTCATCATAACATTTGCTTTTTCATGAGTCCTATCTCAGAAAGAAAAACAAAGTACTGAATGTCTGTTCATATAATTACGGAGTAAACCTTGTAGAACAAGAGTCTAAATTATGAAATTCATTTTAAAAGATTTTGAGAGTTCTAAATCCTTAACTGTCAAATGAACTATGTACCTAGCATTTGTTGTGTGAAATATAGCACTTGTTTGATATTTCAATCTTTTTATATACAAAAAATATACTTTGTACACAAAGATATTCCCCAAAAAGTATGATATGAATATTAACCTAACTCCTCCTTTGAAATGCACCTAAAAAAAATTCTTTGCCATAAAATGATGGATTAATGTATATATATATATAAAATGATATTATAACTTGATCATGAATATCTGAATACATCAATTAGTTTCACAGTTCGACTAAAAGAGAACCTTCGTTCAGAGAGAGGACTACATACATCTCAACCTAGATCGTCCTGTTACACTTAACACCAAGCGTGAGCCGACCTAGGGTTTCTATCATGCATTTCAGGACTAAAATGTATGTACAGAATAGAGAAAACTTTTAAGAAAATGTCAATAACTGCCCACCACTAGCAGCCCATATTAAAAAAAAAATTTATCTTTGAAAATAAGTAATTTTCAAACGTTCTCATTTTTACACCAAACTATACTGGCAACAAGCAAAACTGCACATAATTTTACTGTATACAAGGTACTTTATGATTTATTGGTTGAGGTTCTTTAGCCAAGGAACCACTTGAGATACTCTAGCACAAATTCTCAAACCTATATATAATTTGTACACCAATATGAGGACATGGCACAGAACTTACCTATCACACATCAGGCACACTTATGTTAGGCTCTTATCTAATATGAAAAAACATTATCCCAAGACCTACAATCATGAGAGTATTTCTTCCATTGTCATTTTTTTTTATTTATTTATTTTTTACACTCTAGTGCATTATTACTACTACACAGAGCCTTGCTCCTCCTATCACTCATGGGGTAAGTTATAAATTTTGTGCCGCTACTACACCAAAGGACTATGACTTACTCATCAGGAATGTGGCGGGAGCGCCGCGTGGTAACAGCACCAACACTGGTCATCCTTTTATTTTCCTCCTCCCAACTAGCTCGAGTGCGTGTGCTTCTCTCAAGGGGAGGATCGTCTGGAAGAGTTCTGATTACTTTGTATGTACTCTTTTCTTTGCGAATAGTGTAGTATTCAGTTATCTGTGTCTGTGCTTTCTTTTTGCTACCAATTTCTTTGTTCTTCTCAGCTTTGCTTCTTTCGGAATTATCACTTCCAACTGGTTCTGGACTAGTGACTCGACTTCGTGACTTGCGTGTCTTGAGGCTTCTTCCAGGCTCCCGATTTGATGGACTATGAGATCGCTTTTTAAGGCCATTACTTCTCCTCACTCCTAGCTCGCTCCTGTTTGCTCCTCTACCTGATCTCCGCAGACTAGTTCCTGTGCTAATCTTACTCCCTCTACCTTCAACACTAGCAGCCTTCCTCAGCTCTGGGGGAGCAGATCGAGACACTTTGCCCTCCCCTCTACCCCTGTTCTCTGACACAACCTCAACTGACCAAGACTTGGAAGAACTTTTGGAAGTCTTGGAAGAGTTCCTGAGCTCTGCTGAGGTACTCTTTCTCTCGGGAGAGGAAGTGCCGGACACGACTTTATCCTCTTTGTCGCTGGTGTTGAGTGCGGTATCCGACTCTTTATCATTATTGGAGTTGGAGGAGGCAGCTTCCGACTTGCTGGGTGAGTCGGAGTTGGCGGAGGAGTTCTTGGTGGCACTAAGCTTGCCGAAGGAAGAACTTCGCGATTTCTTAGAAGTAGTCTTGTTGCCGGTGGAGTTGTTGGTGGTGTCTGTGTTTGAGGATGCTGATGATGGGGATGAGATGTTCTCTGGGCTTTTCTTACTGTTCTTGCTTTTCGAGGTGGGCAGTATTGGTAGTCATCTGACAAGGGCAGCTTTCGTGGACCTGCTGGCAAGTGTATTTGAGGTTCGGCTGGAAAGAAAGCAAACAAAACGAGTCAAATAGGAGTTTTGGAAAACTTCAGTATTATTATGTACTATATATGCCAATTTTTATCCTGTCAATTACCAATGCTTAGTTACATAGAAGCAGGCATATCCCACATCAAAAATGCAACTTCATTCTGCTTTTTCCCCTGGTTATAAATGCCATTCGCTACATACATACATGTAGACAGCAGGCATGAATGAGGCAACTATACACAGGAAACAACATTCTGAAAGGAAGTTACTTTTTTTTCTTCACATACAAACTTATAACTGGCAAGTGACTGACTCCCAACATAAATCATTAAATATATCTTATTCTTTGACCCAACACAGAAGTCCATTCTATTTCCTTCATTTTACCTTTATTCTCATCCAGCAAGCTATCCATCGCCCAACCTTTATTATCAGTTGCACCTAAAGTCAAACAAGCAGTGTGGGTTTTTAGTAACAAAAGTACTAGTGGCCTATCATCTTTATCAAATTGAATATTTAGAGTTGAGAAATTCACAACCTAATACCGCTCTATACACCATAATTTCTAACTTGCCTCAAGCAGAATAAATTAACATTTTTAAAAGCAAGATATATATATAAAAAAAATATGTATGCATGTATGGACAACATGCCTACACATTTGCATTCATTATTCTTAATACAAACAGTCCATACAATCAAATATGGTAAATTTTCCATCTTTTACAATGTAAACACAGCTGTACCTGTGACATTGCTTAATGGCCTTTAATTTTACACAGCCCAAATTGGTCTGCATGCACAAACCAAGTGCATTCTAAGCACTGCCTCTGTAGCAACATTTGACATTAGTGCTCACATAAATAATATATATATGGTATATTTTTTTGTCAACAGAACTGGTTTGAGTGTTCAGGTGTTTAAAAGGGAATATTCAAGGGGAATTTAATGTTACCAATGAATTTTTTCATTACTGACAAGACAATGAATCAAAATTATGCTAAGAAATAATATTAAATATCACTATTCTATCAACTCCTTTTTAGCAAAATGTGTAAACAATCATATGAATTACAATTCTAGCCAACCAAGGAAAAGTATATTTGAGGGGGGGACTTTACTTTCAAAATTTGTGTAGCTTATAATATAACATGTACTTTACTATTCTTTCAAAACATGTGCGTACTACTTATCATGTGTATATATCAACATGTATCTGCATGTTTATTGGGTAAAATAACAAATACACACTGAAAATGGAAAATGAGGAGATAACCATGCACCAAAGGAAAAAGAAGAGAAATTAAATTTTCTATGCAAGAAAAACCTGCAAGCTTGGAGCAGCATAAAATCTTGTATGTGAAAAAAGAAAAAGAAAAGAAAAAACTGAAGAATTCAAAAGAAAAAAAGAAGAAAAAAAGGAAAAATATCAATAACCAAAAAATCTGAAATAAAAACATACATGCAAAAAAAATAAAGTTAACAAAAAATCACTATTCACTAGACATCTAACTTACACAGGAGAGAAACGGTAGTGAAAAAGTTGATTACTATTTGTTATCCCCTTTACTACGCGATAGACTGGGAGTTTGCTGTGAATGACAGGTGAAAGGTGTGAGCGGTTTCCCAAATTGGATGTCCGACTTCTCTCATCCTCTCTCAAGCTGCAGCCTCCACTATCTCCCTCTTGTTCAGAGTTGTTATTATTAAACTGTTGACTTTCCCCAATGTTTCCATTGTCCACAGCACCCGAAGATGACACTCCAGCCACAACATTGTTCACCTCATTAGTTCTGGCTATTGGACTGTCGTTGGACGAGGAGGAAGAATAGGACGAAAGAGACGACAGACAGGGCACTTTAGACTGAGAAGAAAGAGTAACATGAAAGGATTTGGAAAGACTAGAGGACGACCCGCTGGTACTGCTAAGGTGCATCTTTCTTGCTGAAGTCTGAGATGCAGAGCCCCCACCAGGACCACCATGTGGGGTCTCTGGTGGAGCCATGGAAGATGAAATCAGGGCCCGTGTTAGGGGCTGTGAGACAGAAGGAGGACCCGGGGATCGTGACATCCCCAGAGCCTTGTTCCCACGATGAGCGGATCCCCGATACACCGATCCCAATAGCCATGCATGTCTTGCGTGAAGGTGAAAAAATATAGAGTAAATGTCTTGGATATAGCAGACAGATTTCACACAGAACCAATATATATTTTTTCTGAGAACCTACAAAGATTGTGCTCCTCTTGACTGATATAATCATGCACTTGAAATTAATATTCACATCAACTGCACCAACAAATCTAATCTGATAACACACTAGAAATATTACTTGACTAAGCTTTGATTTCTTCTATGCAAACACCTCAGGTGTGCAAATGACACCGAGTCTTAAGGGTATTAACACCTGAAAAATGATGATGCATCTTTCTTTGTATTTGTTCTCTAGATGAAAGCTAACCAATTCCAAGAACTAAATAGACTGTGTTAATATATTAATATAGTTAATACCTATCTATTAATACAAGCTACAAGTGGTTACTAAGAGTATTAGTAAGAAAGTCAAAATACATTCTCTCTATACCCACTCCCTAAAGTAAACACATTTATTTGTTGACTTACTTTTTAAATAATGCAGTAGAATTAGGAGAAGCAAAGTGTATTAATATTTTAATCTTGTTCCCGAATGAACATCTTAAATAATTACTTTACCCAACATGTACTTTTACTCTGTTAAACAGCATGTTTAATACTGCAAGGGTTATTCACCTAAATTTCCCTAAACCACAAAATAATTCCTCACCTCTTGCTTGTGGCTGTGGTAGTGGATCGCATAGGCCTACGAGCCGTGTCTCTGTAGGCTGTGGTGATGGTGGAGACCTTGCCAGCTTTCAGTGGAGACAGCACAGCCTCTCGCCCACCACCACCACTACCACTGCCTCCACTCCCCAGGGGCGTGGACTTGGTACGCACGTGAGCTTTGTCCTCAAGGCTGTAACAACATTTGTTGCTACACTAACTGTAAAAGCACATTTCCCTATCCTAATAAACATATGCAAATACAAATAAACTAATCTTTTTAGCATCCTGCATAAACCTACTGTAAGATGCTAACTAGCACACAGTCACTGCATTTAGACATTTCAGTCATGGAATCCATACAATCTATTTTTTCTCAAATCATAGGAGGGGAAAAGACTCTGAAATAGTGTCTACACTACTTTATAATACAGACAGATTTTTGGGAAGTAACAACTACTACTTTGTGTATGGTACATGCAAAATTTGGGTTCATGCATAAGGGGACATTACAATGACTTTTCAACAATTCTGTTCTAAATAAATATTGTGAATTATTTTTAACCTTTTGAAGTCACATATACTAACACATTTTCAAATACTTTCATCCACAAGTGATTTCATATATATCTGCTTACACTGCTCTTGGGGAAAAAAACATTTTGAATTAGATTTACTCACTGTACTCGTCCAGTCGTGGCAGAACGGGCATGGGTTCGTGAAGCTTTCAGCTGATTTAGGCGATCGCCTTGTGAAAGCCCATTTATAAGTCGAGTCTCGGAATCTTTACTGTCTGCATTACTATTTGCAACATCCTGAAAAGGTTACCAGGTTTATTATTAATATATTCATTAGCATATGAAACACTAAGGCAAACCCTCAATGAAATTTATTGATTTTTTATTCACATGTGTTCTTAGAAAATTGTGGGTCTTGTTTATCTATGACCCAAAGATAACACATTCTATCAAAAGAGTACAGGAAACTCAAATGTCAAAGAATATAACATGAAGATATATAAGCACACCAATGGGAAGGAATTAAAAATAAAGTGCAGATAATTAAAAACTGCACAAATAATAAAAGCTGCCAGAATATTCACTCTGCTTACCTCGATGTACTTGTCATGATTATCTGTTTGTGAAGTTTGATCATCCAACTTCAACAAGTCAACGCCACTTAGCACTACTTGGACATTTTCCTCTCGATCTACATCATCCTCTGATGTATTTCCATTAACCTGTGTTCAAAATGCAATACATCAGGAATGGACATATTGAAAAGATAATGTTAATATCCCTAACTTTATTTATTTCTATATATTCCATACCCTGACAAATTTGTATATTAGCATGTAGAAAACCAACAAATCTGTCTATTTCACTGAATAAAGCTAAGAGTTGTTGGGTAGGAGAGAAAAACAGAGCCAAACATGCAAATAAAAATATGAATTTACAGTAACATGAAACTTTCAGGCAATGAATTGGAAGGGAAACTACACCATAACTCACCATCTTCTTTTTATTATCATTCTTGCAGTTGTTTTTGTTCTGGTTATTCCGCATGTTGGCCAAGTGGTCCCTCCAAGCAATGCTATAAATTCCAAAATCGAATTTCTTGTTCAAGTTTTGATTTTTGTTGCGTGCTCTGAAGATGTCTCCTTCTAGCCACAGTGAAGACTGTTTCCTGTGGGCAATTTTACACTAGATTAATAACGGAAACTATGTTCAATTGAGAAAAAATCATTGATTCAATCCAATCTCAAATAAAAAGAAAATGAAAAACGAAAATTGCAACTGAAAATTTCCGTATTACACGAAATCTGTTGTTATTGACTTACGAAGTGAGCCATTGCTGCTGCCCCCCGATAATGGAGCCTGGCCTGCAGATGCGCAACCAGGCAATAGACTCTGCTGCTGTGAATCTGAAGTGCTTCATCATGTAGCAACCAATGAGGGATCCTGTACGCCCTAGGCCAGCTGGAATGTATATCCAAGATTAATTAAGCTCCGAGCAAAGGAACATTCGTCTAAAAGTATATACCAGTAATTCGAAAAGGACTGTGGCACAAAAAAGCACAATTACCTTTACAGTGTACAGCAAGAGCTCCATCAGTATTTTCACTGACACGCAGGAATTCCCTCATGATTTCATCTGAAGGACACGATCCATCAATAAAGTACATATCATAATGTTCAAAGCCTGCATTCTTGAACCGCGAAGCGTCGTAAATCTTTTTGTTGAGTCTCACTATGGTTGTCACATTATGCTTGCGGAAATAGCTGAAGTAAGTCTCGGGGGAATGGAGTGTGTATCCATTCTTGATCTTGCTCTCGGCATGCGGTCCACAGAAAGCAAGGTATTTACCTGGCATGATCCAATTGAAGTCGCCATTCTGCACTTTCTGCGAGGAGATAAAAAGAAATACAAGCCTTAGCACAACACAGAACCACCGCACTAAATCCACACCATATGCATTAAGAAAAATATATAAGCTCTAAGAAAAGTAAGTAAACTCCTCGAACAGAAGATGAAGAAAAAAGGAAAGAACAAGGCAGCAGCAGCAGCGTCTCTTACTTCGTAATACTCATACTCGTCGACGTCGAAGTCATCGAAGTTGAAGAAGCCCAATTTGAAGGCCTTGTCGATCGCATGCAGACAGTCGAGCAGCGTGAGATGGTACGTCGACATCCCATACGCGGCATCTCGGAAGGGACAGAACTGCGGGCTGTTTCCGCCCACCAGTGGTTTGTATGCTTCCTCGGGGGTCTTTTTTAGGTAAATTATCTGGAAAGAAAAGAACACATGCGTGATTATTATTTGGAAGTGTTGGGAACATTCTCTGGGCAAAAACACCAAACACCACATCGATTCACATGCATATACGTGAATATTGTGCAGAGCTGAGGATAATCATGCCTTTTTTTCTCTTTACCTTTCTGCTAAACATTCTTACACAGCGACATAGACTACGCAAAACTGCACGGTAATCGTAATCCTTCGACAAAAGACATTCACCTACAACGAAACTAACCCTCTTAAAAATAAATCTATGATACCATTAAGCCAAAGTCTGACATTCAAGCACAGGGCGAGAGAGCCTGGAATCCACAGCCGAGCTTAGTCAGCCCTCATGAGTCACCTGGAACATCGCCCTAAAAAAATTATCAACAGTTGTTCGGATTGATACATTGTATTTGTTGTTTTAGTTCTTTGACTCATCAACAACAATGACAGAGGCAGCGCGAATTCCGGAAAATCTTGAGCTGTTACAAAGCCACTGTGGATATATCAAGCCATACCCGACGCAACAAAGAGATGTCACATCCCGTCCTGCTGCGGTCTTACGATTTTCTTAGAGCCGCTCGTACCCCTTTCCTGTTTCGCCGAAGACACTAAAGATCGCAAACTCGATAAGATAGGCAGACGATCTTATCAACATTCATTATTTTGTAGCGAAGAACAAAGAAAAAAGTGCATTTACTAGCTATTCTAATTATATATTTACAAAGCAATTTTGTCTCAAGCAAACAACGCCACAATGCATAATAGCACTCCGTACTTAGCCGTGATCTGCAAGGAGAAGTATCATGCACGTTCAAGACCTGGGAGACGGACACATAACTGGCATGCAAAGCTCCCAGATGCAATGTAAAGCAAGGACTATGAAGGCCGCAGTCGTTTCCCAAGTGAATCCTCCGCAGGTGTACGGGAGGAGGCGACGAAAGCAAAAGCCCAACAAGCATCCTCTCTCGAGCGATTCTAAAGACCGTGATGCATCAAAACGTATCCTTCCAGAGGCCCCTAACCCCCCCCCCCCATCCCTCCACCTGCACATCGGGGAAGGGAGGAGGGAGGGAGGGAGGGGGGGGGGGAAGGAGGGGAAGGGGAGCGAGTCAAGGCCAAGGTCACAAACACGCCAGCTCGGAGCCCACGATTTTATCGCATTTCCGCCACGACTTCTTTAACAAATAGTGAACCATATGTCTCCGCTGCTGTCCCCTGGTAGCCCTACCTGTACCAGCGCCTCAAGATCTAGAAAGGCAAGTCTAAGAAGTTAGAAAAATGTCCAAACAGCAATAAGAAGCAGCATTTAAGATCTGATACCAACGTGGCTTTAACAACAACATATCGCTGCCCTCTATGACGTTTCAAGCCATGGTTCAAGTACACGTGGAAAGAGGCGTGTAAACAACAGACGCCAAGCCTTCTGCACCTGTAAGGCCTCGCGCGGGATGGCCAACCCTTGCGCCTTCTATGTTGCAACCTAACAATAAGCAAATAACATAAGATAAAGAAAGAACAGGCCAGAAAAAATAGCAATCGTATTTATCCACACTGTCAACATATTTGTATGAACCCGGTTTGGGACGGGATGTCCGTAGACGAGGAATGCCTCTCTCACAACCGAGCCACGGGACAGAGATCGCCGCACCGCCCATACACTGCTCGAGACCTTGAACCCTGATCAAGCAACAGAAGCGTTCGCAAGCCTTCGTGAATTCTCCGCCAGGGAATCAGGGTATATGTGCTGCTGCTGGCTAAGGGCGAACGTTCCTTGCGCGCGACGGGAAGAAAGACCCTGTCATAATACCCATCTGTATCAGGGTAAACTCTGAAGAAGGTGAGGAGGCGAGTGAGGTGACGCAAGAGTAGAACAGCTGATCACGAAAGAGGAAGAGCCTCTATCTCCTCCCCTGGACGACACTTGCATGGAGGTTGCATTTCGTCCCTCCCCCCCAAACCCTGTGGCGTATGCAGCAATTACCCTTACAATAGGCTATTTTGGGATATTCAATGCGCGCAGAGACCCCTCCCCTCCCCTCCCCTCCCCGGCGAACGTGGGTGTAGACAATCTCGACACAATGATGATGAACACGGATGTATGCAGCCCCCCCCTCCCTAGAACAGAGAGCGCCACTTCTCACCCTGATCTATAATACCTGCCCCGCCCCCCTCTATCGGGGCTGCCGTTCAACTGCCCCAAACCGCTTTTCCGTTGCTCGATTCCCGCCGGCGCTCCCCGACTCTCCGTTGATTCGCCCGCGCCGTTAACGCTCTCCGCGACGCTCGAACCCCGAGTGATTGGCTGCCGTTGCGAAATGACCCGCCGCCTCCGCCCGCCCCGTGACAGCAGGCAGAACCAAGCGGGGCCATTAGCCGATAACCGCAGCTAACGCGCCATTGTCATTCCGTTACGGCAGAGCGCCTCGTCGAATCTGCCTCCCTCCCTCCGGCGAGCTTCGTTACCCGCGGCAGAGCGACCCAGAGCCGACGGCCGCGTACCGCCGGCTGACCTTGGAATCGAAACGCCAACCCGGTCCATGTCGGGTCAAAGGGGTCGCGACACACCGACCCCGATGCAACCCCGTCCACCCCCCCCCCCCAAGGCACGGAGACGGCACTCGGCGACCCCGCGGAATCCAGTCATGCGCATCTGCAGCACAACCGCCGCAGCGCGAAGGGATCATGAGAATTAACGAGGCGAGTGCATCTCATTGCTCGCTATTGCATCATCCCCGTCATGGCGGCCGCGTCACTCCTCCGATTCCCTTACAGCCCTGCGACGGCACTCGGCGCAGAGGACGCGGCGCTAAATGACGACACGCACAGAAGTCGGGCGTTCGGATGCAGGCGTGTGTTCGGGGGCGTGGGCAGCGACTCGCCGACACGTGCTGAGGAGCGAGCCCGACAAGGTGCGCTCACGTCAGTCTGCGCGCTCGACCGCCCGCGCCAATTGGTTCAGCCTCGCGACACCTGCCTCAAATTTCAAAAACTCTCGAAAAAATCGCTTAAACACACAGCTCTCCGTCGTTGGTGCTGTGGGTTTGTGGCGGGACGCGCGCCGTGTTTGTCGAGCGGTGACTCAGCAGTTGTAACGCGCCTCCTCGGCAACGGAGAACAGGCCGCCGACGGGGCTTCGCGGCCTTTAATCCGAGGAGGGACACCCTGTCACTTTGTACCATGACTACGAGTGTTTCTTCATGTAGAAGTGCGCGCTTATGTGTGCAGGTATATAAACTGTATACACACATACAAAGATATAGATATAAATCTACACACACACACACACATATACACACACACACACACACACACACACACACACACACACATATATATATATATATATATATATATATATATATATATATATATATATATATATATATATATATATATATATATATATACACACACACACACACACACAAACTCGCCATAGCAACCTGTATCAATTTCTCTCTGGCGTGGCTCGTTTCCCTTCCGCGCCCTCGAGAACGGCCCTCGAATTCCGAGAGCGAGCCCCGGCCCGGGCGCCGAAGGGCCGGCGGCTCTCGCATCCCCTCTGCCGCCGATTCCAGCCCCTTTGGCCCACGTGAGCAGCCCACGGCCCTGCCCCTAGGAATCGGCGTCCTGCGATCAATGGGAGACTCCGGCAACCACAGGTGCGCGGCGGCGGCTCCTCGCAATCACGGCGGCGAAATCCTTCCTTCCCATGCAGGCGCCGCGTCAGTGTGGCACTCCCCCTCCCCCTCACTCCGAGCGCCCCCTGGCATTTTTCTTCGTCCACTCATCACTTGTAAGTGACGAGAGGATGGGGGGGGGGAAGAGGAGGAGAAGGAGGAGGGGAAGGGTATTCGCCCCAATCACAGCCATGCAAGAACGCCACAGAGTTCACTGGCAGTACAACGCCTCACAGCCCCGCAAAGATTAACCTTTCATATTCCAAGAAACAACAACCAGAGCGAGCCCCACGACGGCACCCCAACGCAAATGCGCAGTAAGCCGTACAAAGGAGCCGAGCGAGAGAGAGAGAAAAAGCAGCAGCAGCATTCCAGGGGGCGGCGAACTGTGTCAATCGATGGAATAACGACAGAGTAGAGGCGGCGTATACTATCCTCTCACGGAACTCGATAAGCCATTCGTCGACCCGCCACTCACTCGCCCGCCCGCCCGCACACGCCACGCAAAGGCATCCGAAGCCTGCAAACCCTTCCCGGGGCAACACACGAGCAACTAATTGCAAGCGTAATGTAGGTCGGCGCCCCCTCCTACGCTCCGGCCCTCCAGATAGCGCGGGGCAATTGTACTCCGGCCAGCCCGCCTCCCTCCCTGCCCGCTTGCCCGCCCGCTCCTCCTCCGCCAGCCGCGACTCCCTCATAAAAAATACACGCGCGACAACGTCATATTTCAAATGAAACTCGGCTAACACAATAAGCCGTTCTAACATGCAAGCGTTTGCCATGCGCTCCACAACGGGGACAGGTGCACAGATTTCCCCGGGGAAGCGCAGGCGAGAGAGAATAAAAGGGAATAAAGGCCGAAGAAAGATTGACAGAGATACTTAAACGGAGAACGAAACAAAGAAGAAATAAATAGTCCTAATTGCAGGAAAGCGACAGGAATTGCAACTAGCGCCGTTTCCCTCCCGATTAGCCACGAGTGAACGTAATTATGCGTAAAAGAGCGACGAGAACGTGACGGGGCTCTCCTCTGGCACAAGGGACGGAGATCTAGAGCCGCGACGAGAGCCAGGCTGAAACCCACTCTGGCGCCGCGAACAATGCCGTATGGGCGGAATTGCGGGCGCGCCGTCGCCTAATGGAACCACTTGGAGGTCGTCGGGATACGGTGACACGGGCGGGGAAGCGACCAGGCTGGCGCTCGGGGAATGGCTGCGAAGGGCTCGGAGACGCTCGCACATGCATATGCTGATATACAAGGTTTGTATATATTTATATATTATATATATGTATGTGTGTGTGTGTGTGTGTGTGTGTGTGTGTGTATATATATATATATATATATATATATATATATATATATATATATGTCTATCTCTATAGATATATATGTATATATAGATATCTATATATTTACATCTATCAATTTCTCTATCTATCTATTTATATAAGCACGTGTGTATATATCTATATCTGTATCTAAATACCTGTATATATGTATGTATATACATACATACATAAGTACACACAAGTACATACACACGTACACAGACACACATACAGTGTATATACACGCACATTGACAGACAGAGAGAGAACGCAATAAACATCAACGATCGCCCAGCAAATACGAAAGGAATGCTCTCTATCAATCTAAGTTGGTCAAGCAGGGGGGGGGGGGCATGGCACCACCCGGGGTCAATGACTCTACGCGCCGGGTACGCCGCCCTTCACCGCGGAGTGCTTGGGGCGCCCGTGCCGGCCCCCCCTCCCCCCGCTGCGGCCGCCCTTAGATGTTACTTTCACTTCCGCCGAACACGTGGGCGGGGTGTGGAAACCGGCACCAATGCCCTTGTTCGCCCGGGGAAGACGGCGGGGGGGGAGAGAGGGCCTGAAACGATGCCCTCTCTCCTGCGAAACCCATTATCGCATGACGTTATGCGGGAGGCAGCTTCGGGAACAACGCCCTCCTGCCCCAACGCCGCGTGCCTGCACCGAGGGGGGGGGGGTTCCTACATGCTTCACCTCGACGAGGAATCCGAACACTTCAATCTAGACACAGGGCACCCCCCCCCCACCCCATTCAACATACTCAACCGGACAACATAATCATCATAGGCCTATCAACACACCGACGCGAAATCTAAAGAACCCAAAAGCCCCCCCGTAATGCGTCGGGGCGGGGGCGTCCCGTCGGCCCCCTCGGCCAGCGAAACCCGCAGCGGATTCCCTTAATAAAAAGCCACAGGCGCAGTCACTACACTGCTAATGGAAAAGGACGTTCACGCTCGGCCATTACCGCCCCTGGGACCCCTCGCCCCGGCCGCCCCGTCATCGCAGCGCCACGGGGGATCCGAGCTGTCAGCCGCTTCATTTCCCGCTTCTCATTTCGGCTTCAGAGACACGGCGGGCGAGGCGACCGGGCTGCGACACACGCCCCTGAGCCCAACGTGAAGCCACCGCCACTGCAATCTCAAAATACCACCCAGGTTAAAGGTTATATGAACGTAGACAGGACAAGCGCCCGAGCTCTGACCGGAGCGACCTTGTAACCCCCCCCTCCAACCCCCACCCTCGCCATGCATGCTGACGCCAGCCACTGAATCGAGGCGATAAGAATTCGATATCACCCGATTGCGCATTCTCACTTCCTCCTCCGCCGCGATTCGGGTCCGGCACGTGGGGGGAGGACGGACGACCAGCGGAAGCCAAACCCCAAATCCAAAACGACCTCGAAACCTCTCAAAAAAGAGAATACAAACACCCCAAGCCTTCAAAACCAAGCTCGGATCCCGGTGCTCGAGCCGAGACCTTGCCCCCGCCTTGCCCGCCGCCCGAACCTCCGAAACGGGCCGTGAAAATCAATCTCCGGCTCGGCACCGCTCATTCACCCTCCCGGTAATCCGCTCTTCACAACCGCGCAATTGCAGATGAAAGGGGAAGCCCCGACAGATCCTCCCTCTTTCCTCCGGGGATTCCCATGCATAGAAAAAGGATTCCCGGGAAGTGGGAATCAATCAAGCGGATCATTCCCGAACCCGAGAAGAAGCCGAGGAAAAGAAGGCACCGATTTGCTTTATTACTCAGAGGGGAAAAAACGAGGAAAAAAATCCCGACGACTTCAAAAGCAAATTCCAAAAAGGACCCATTGTTTCGCCTCCCTCCTTCCCTCCTCCCGCGACGCCGTTCCCGGAGCCTCGCGTCCCCCGGGAAGCGTGATTCATCTAAACTTCCCAAAGCTCTTATCGAGGCGGGACTGCTGCTCTTGCAAATTCTCCCCTCCGACGTTGCAGAAATGCCGGCAGAGGCGGGGAATAATTCACACACTCCGAGGTGCAACTCAGGGTAATAATACGATGGTGCAAAGGGTTTTATATTTGTGTCTTCCTCACGAAACACGTTACGTACAGCAGAACAGTGGAAAATAGGAATTTAAAAAACAAAATACAGGACAGAGTACAGACCCCTCCACAAAAGAAACAGCGTGAGAGTTCCAAAAAAGAAAAAAAAAGATTAGTGCACTAGGAGTACATGTGTTGCAGTGACAAACAAAAGCAGCAAATAATTGCCCAGTTTAAGTGCAGCTAAAAACCAATAAAGTACAGAGTTATATCCGATCAAAACACCATAAAATGTACAGCTCATAACCTACAGTACAACCTGTGGACAGAAAAGAGGTGCAATACAGGGCTACTGATGTTCAAAAAGTGCAGTGGCAATGCAATCAAGAGAAATGTAGATTAGTTGGTAAAATAAACATTCAATCTTGCAAAGTATTAGTAAAATATATTTAAAAAATATGTTATCTATACAAGGCTGCAAGTGGTTAGTTTAGAAGGCAAATATATTACGCAGGAGACTGATACGGAACAACAAAATAAAATAAAAATAAAAGTTAAGGAGGCATAGCGGAGAAAAGGAGGAAGAAAAAGAGGGAGGAGGGAGGGAGAGGAAGGGAGGAAGAGGAGAGGGGAGGGGAGAGAAGAGGGGGGGAGGGAGAGAGAGGGGGAGGGGAGAGGAAGAGGGGGGGAGAGAGAGGAAGAGGGGAGGGGGAGGAGAGAGGAGAGAGAGAGAGAGAGAGAGAGAGAGAGAGAGAGAGAGAGAGAGAGAGAGAGAGAGAGAGAGAGAGAGAGAGAGAGAGAGAGAGAGAGAGAGAGAGAGAGAGAGAGAGAGAGAGAGAGAGAGAAAGAATGAATATTAGTGTTCACGTGTGCGATGTGCGTGCGAATGTGCCGGTGAGTGTGACTGCCTGGGCATGTATGCGTGCGTGTGAAAGGGAAAGTGACAGACGGAGAGGATATGAGCGTGTGCGAACGAGGCTGTCACATCCAGGGTCCCTCGCGCTGCAGAGTGTTGCGTCAATGCAAACGAAACACGGATTAGAATAAGTAAACACAACACGCAAGATTTTACAGCACTACTCAAGGGTAACCATGACCAAGAAAAGTGTTAAAACCAGGTGAAGTAACCCTCTATTTATACAAATTACGAGTCGGCATTTAAAAAAAGTGTATATACAGTATATATGTATATATATCGACACAAATAATAATCTACGAACATGCGGAGATGGTGCCACGAAAGAATCATTTCAAAAGAGAGGAATTCCCGCTTTGCAAGAACCGAAAAACAAAACAAAACAAAAACAACAAAACAACCAAAACAAAACAGTGAACGGGCTGGATCGAGACCGCGGCGCCTCAAGGGTCAGCCCAGGGAAGTAGTGGCGAGCGCTTCGTGGACCAAAAGGAGAAAGGCGCTTAGAGGCTTCTACGCTTCGTGGACCAAAGGGGAAAAGGCGCTTAGAGGCTGCTTCTACTTACGGCGTATGAGGAACAAGCGGAAGTCAGGGTTAGTGAGCGACCAAAAGGAGAAAGGCGCTTAGAGGCTTCTACGCTTCGTGGACCAAAGGGAAAAAGGCGCTTAGAGGCTGCTTCTACTTACGGCGTAGGCGGCGATGAGGAAGGCGGCGTTGGCTCTCTTCTGCGGGTCCAGCGAATGAGGGCAAGGGCAAGAGGAAAATGGGGAAAAGGGGGAGAGGGAGGAGGGAGAGAGGAGAGAGAGAGAGAGGGAGAGGAAGAGAGGAGGGAAGAAAGAGGGAAATGAGGAAGAAAGAGAGGAAAGAGAGAGGGAAGGGAGAAAGAGAGGAAAGAGGAAAGATGAGGAGGGAGAAAGAGAGGAAAGAGAGAGGGAGGGAGAAAGAGAGGAAAGAGAGACAAGAGAGAGGAGGGAGAGAGAGGAGAAAGAGAGGAGAGAGAGGGGAGGGAGAAAGAGAGGAAAGAAAGAAAAGAGAGAGGAGAGAGACAGACAGAAATGGAGAATAAAAGAAAATAAGAAGAAAAGGAAAGAATGCAATTGCTACTACACTCCATGCACTTCACAAATACGAACATACAATAATAACCGCTGACAGAAAAACAAACTAATAACACACAACACAGTACAAAAAGACAACACACACACGCACACACACACAAAGCTCCAAAAACACTTTCGAGAACGAACTCAAACAGAGGAAACAATTAGCAGCCGCACAGCCTCACGCAGCATCACCATCACCACCACCACCACCATCATTACGGTGCGTGCTGTCTGTGTAAACCGTAAACGCTGACTCATCCTTCCTGAAGACTGCCGACTTCCTCCCGCGCAGCAATTTCACTCTTTAGACGGTGCTCGCTGCAGCTGGAGTCTGCAATCACTGCCAGTCCCGGCGCGCATAACAAAGACCCCCCCTCCCTCCCCTTCCTCCCCCCTCCCCCCCTCCCCTCCTCTCCCTCTCCACCCACCCCTTCCCCTCCCTCCCTTCCCCCTCCCCTCTCCCCCTTCCCACCTCCCCTCCCCCCCCCTTCCACCTCACCTCTCCACCCCCTCCACCTCCCCCCCTCCCCCCCTCCTCCTTCCCTCTCGACACGCAACAGTCGAAGTGAATCTGTGGGCGGGCACGAAGGGGGCCGTCCGTGGGCGTGAAAATGGGGAAGGAAAAGGAATGAATGGAGAAAGGAAAAGGAGGAAAGGGAAGGAGGAAAGGGAAGGACGTGGGGGTGAATCGAGGAAGGAAAAAGGGAAAAGGCGAAGGGGATGAATGAAGGAAAAAGGGAAGAAGAGAAGAAATGAATGGAGAAAGGAAAAGGAGGAAGGAGGAAGGGAAGGAAGGGAAGGTGGGGGTGAATCGAGGAAGGAAAAAGGGAAAAGGCGAAGGGGATGAATGAAGGAAAAAGGGGGTAAAGGATAGGGAAGGAGAATGGAATGAGGGAAGAAAGGAAAAAGGGAAGAAGAGAAGAGAATGAATGGAGAAAGGAAATGGGAAGATGGGAAGGGAAGGAGGTGGGGGTGAATCAAGGAAGGAAAAGGAAGAAAGAAGGAAAAATGAAGGAGAAAGGAAATGGAAGGAAAGGAAGGAGATGAGGATGGATTAAGAAGGGAAGGAAAGAAGACATGGGATAGATAAAGGTATGAAAGAAAAGAAAAAAATAAGGAAATGAATGAAGGACAAAAAGGAAAAGAGAAGGGGAAAAATCAAGCAAGAAGGAACAGAACCAAATAACAAAGCAATGAAAAAATCGAAGAAGAAGAAAAAAAATGAATAAAGATGGAAAAAAAAAGGAAAACGGAAAGATGGAACGAAGGATGAAGAAGGACGAGGAGAAAGGACCCAGGAATGGAAACGTCGCCACCCAAGACGGAGGGGGGAGCAAGGGTCAAGAACAGCTGGACCTGGCGATGGGGACAAGCACAGGGGGGGGGGGGGGTTACCTAATACGTACGGTCTCTCTCTCTACGTCTCTCTCTCTCTCTCTCTCTCTCTCTCTTCTCTCCTCGTCTCTTTTAAGGACACAATCACAGTATGTGAACAATGTATATGATCCGACAATTCAATGAATGAAATCAGTTGCGAAAAAGAGAAGAGGAACTGAGAGAGAGAGAGAGAAAAGATGGGAGAAAGGCAGAAAATAAAATAAAATAAAATAACAGACAGAAAAAAAAAGAAAAGCCCAGACAGAAAAAAAGGGTAAAAGAAGCAAAAGCAAAACAGAAAAAAGACATAGAAAAATAAAGAAAGACATAAAAGAACGTGAGCATACTGGGCGACTATTGAGCAAGAAAAGGGCGAACAACCCCCTCCCGCCGCCCCGCCCCCCAGGTACGTACACGGCGGCACAGCGACGGCGGGTCAGACTAATGTGGGTCATGACGCGCCTCGCCCAAGACCCTTCACTCCGCCGCGGCCACGGGGGAGGGGAGAGGGAGGAGAGAGGGAGGGAGGGAGGGAGGGAGAGAGAGAGAGAGAGAGAGGAGGAGAGAAGAGAGAGAGAGAGAGAGAGAGAGAGAGAGAGAGAGAGAGAGAGAGAGAGAGAGAGAGAGAGAGAGAAGAGAACGGAGGGGAAGAGAGAGGAATAAAAGGGAGGGGGTTAAGAAAAAGAAAAAAAAAAAAAAGGAGAGAAACAATAAATAAAGAGGAAGGAGAAAGATAGAGGATAAATGAAAAAAAGAGAGAATAAGACGACGAAAACAAACGAGAACAGAGAGAGAGAGAAAAAAAAGAAAAGAAAAAAAAAAAAAGAGCGAAAGGGATATTATTTAACATCACCCAACCGTACCGCCGAAACGAAAACCAAACCGCGGCCAGGAGACAGATCGCCGAAATATAGACGCACCCGGGTCTCTCTCTCTCCCTCCTCTCTCTCCTCTCTTTTCTCTCTTTCCCTAACTCACTCTCATCTCTCTCTCCGCGATACACAACGAACCGCGAACCAGGTAATGGCCATCAGCATGACGAACTGCAGCGAATCTTCGCCATAAACATTGACGTCTGGTGATAAATCCTGGCCACAGACGGGGAAAGAATGGATTGGCGTGGCGGAGTGCCGGCCGAGTCGCAAGGGGCCATCGCGATTTCAGATGGGGGGGGGTAAGGGGACAGGGAGAGGGAGAGGAGAAGGAGAGAGAGTAGAGAGGTGGGAGGAGAGGAGGGAGAGGGAGGAGAAGAGAGGTGGGAGGAGGAGGAGGAGAAGGAGAGAGGAGGAAGAGGGAGGGGAAGAGGTGAGAGGATGAGAGTGAGAGTGAGTGAGAGAGAGGAGAGAGAAAGAGACAGAGAGAGAAAGAGAGAGAGAGAGAGAGAGTAGAAGAGAGAGAGAGAGAGAGAAAGAGAGAGAGAAGAGAGAAAGAGAGAAGAGACAGAGAGAGAGAGAAAGAGACAAGGAGAGAGGAAAGAGACGAGAGAGAGCGAGCGAGCGACGGGAGGAGCCCATGAAAGGCACGTCCAGTCATCGCCGAGGCCCTTTAAAACCCCGGCGAGATGCCCTCCACGTCCCGCCCGGACCCCAGGTGCGGCCTCACCCCTTCCATTCATACCCCGGCGCTTTAATTAGTAGAAAGACTGACAAAACCCATTCTCAAATCAAAGGCAAGGGGGAAAAAAAGTACCAGGCAATTTCACGGCGCGTTCGAACCAACAGCGGAGGCGAGAGGCCCATTAAAGATGCAAAACGCGGAGGTGTTCAAAAGTCGGATCCCAAACGCCGGCCCCTTTTTTAAAACCGAAATTTAATTACATTAGCGAACCGCACGAGAAGATGATTATCCCCCGCGCCGACGCCCCCAAAAGGCCAAAAGTACAGAGCGATCCTCATCTTCTCCTCACGAATACGAAATAATGCGAGGCTGAGCATGCGGGCGAGCAAGGCTCAAGCGATAACCTTCGTGCCTGCATTTACCTGCCCGATAGCGCAAAAACCTGCAGGTACTGGTTGTCGAGCACCTGGCGGCCTCACCCCCCCTAAGGCTGGCCGCTGTCAAGGGGTGTCGCAACACAGGCTTCGTGCCCCCCCCCCATGCCTGCTACCCACCCGCCCCCTCGAGCTGCAATACTGCTCACCGCGGCGCTCCTGCTGCCACCAGAGACAGGGACACGGCCCGCCCGCCCGCCCGCCCGCGCCGGAAAACCACTTCTGTTCACCGGTGACCCAGAAAGCGCTCGCAATTCGCCCCTCGAACAATCGGCGCCCAATAAAAACCGACGGAAAAAAGGCTCCCCCCCCCCCTCTCGCTGCGTGCGCTCCGTCCGCCGCCGACGCAGCCCCATAAACCAAGCGACCGAAGCGCTGGCGTCGCGCGGCCCCCGTTCGACGGCCGACCGACTCCACGCCGGCAAGATCCCCCACATGCACATCGCCATTCCAAGTCGAAGCGCGTCGGCAATCGGCACAGACGCACGCACGCACGGACCGACAATGCGATTACGTATCTGGGACAATAAAGAGAAAAGAGAAACAGGAAATTCTGCAAGATATGCTTAACGAACGAATATCCGGCACCCACAGGAACCAGACCAGGCCCGCGGCGGCGCACACCGGCAACTATTAACCGCCAGCGATGGAAGATAGCGAAAGGCGAGGCGGCCGCATGGCAAAAGTTCATGCGAGTCTTACTCTCGTCTTCGTGGCTTTAAACCCAACGCGGCGAAGAAAAAAGACGGAGACGGGCAGCGGCTATCCTTCCGCCGCCCCTCCTCCTCCTCCTCCTCCTCCTCCTTCGGGCCCCAAGGAAAACGGGGAAAGAAGGATGAAGCCACGGGGAAATCGCGCGGAATACAATACAGTTAATACCTTCCCCCCTCCCTCCCTCCTACTCTCCCCTCCACCGCCTTCCTCCCCACCCCACCCCCCTTCAGGACGACTCGCTGCGGTGACAATGCACAATGTTGGAACCCGTCATGAGGGAAGCGAAGGTCGTAGGAGAAAGTTGAGCAACGCGATCCTCCTTCTCTCCTCCTCTCCTCCTCCTCCTACCCTCCTCCCTCCCTCCTCCTGCGAGGCGACGGCGGAACAACGGCTTAAGGGGGAGGAAGGAGGGGAGGGAGAGGAGAGGGAGGGAGGAGAGGAGGGCCTCAACCCACACGCACTTGACGTACCGCAAAACTCATGCACATAAAAAGGGGGAAACTATCCAGTGTTAGGCCGCCTCCCCGCTGTGCGAGTGCGTGCGGGTGAGGTTGGCAGGAGAAGTTTGGGGTT